CTCGTAAGCCTGCGCTATCAGCCCCAGATGTTGTCCCAGAGCGCAAACGCTCCACACCCATCAACCCAGCCAACACCATCCGCAAGTGCCTTTCCAACAACCCCGTCTCTCAGAAACCCCTCCGGGACCGCATCGTTCACCTTCTGGCGCTGAAGTCTTACAAAAAACTGGAGGTGCTCGGTCGGTTGCAGCGGGACGGCATCAACCAGAAGGATCGGAACTCACTCGGGACTACCCTGACACAGGTTATTATTAAAGTACTTTTTTTTGTATTTGAACATCCCAAAGCTACACTTTAAACAGTACAGACTTTTGACTTTTACTGAAACTAATGTCCAGATCCAAAGCCTCTTATTCTTCTTCCTTGGAGAGTCTTTGARTATTTAACTAGATTTTGGAGATCTCTTTCCCTCTAGTTAAGCATGCGACTGAAGCGTGCACATACGCCTAAAGAAATTATGTCCACTGTAAAAAGACTTCATTGACTGGAAACAAATGACTAAATTGTTTAACATAATTTGCCTGCCCAGATGGCCTTTCACAGGAAACAAGAGGTTTCTGTATAAGCTGTAAAGGTTTCAGTGTGCTGTAGTTGAGCTTCAGTTGTCTCTCTGCTCGACAGGTGGCAAGCCTGAATCCCAAAGACAACACCTTCTCACTGAAGGACTATATATATCGTGACGTCCAGCGAGACTGGCCTGGTTATTCTGAAGATGAGAAGACTCAGGTTGACCGCATCTTGGCCCGGTACAGAGCTGGAGTTTTTTACTGTTTGGACAATTCTTATTCCCAGGCTGTTGTTGAAGCACTGCAGCTATCGAGACTTTTAGTAACATTCTGAAACGCAAACACAACTAAAATATTTACCTCTTGTTACGATAAATCCGTAAATGATTGTTTTATTTATCAAACAGAAGCCGCCCATTTTCAGTTTTTAACACAATGGGTTCAGTTTCATTTCAAGTCCTAATGTGTTATTGTACAAATAATTGAACAGGCACTGATTGAAATTTTACATTAAACAATGAGGCATCAAATGAAGCAATAAGATTTAATCATTCTTTTTGTTTCATTAGTATAC